CATTTTAGGCATATCTTTTTTCCCCCTATCYTAAAGAGATTTTGTCCATCTTGTTCAGATGTTATTGGCTTGACATATTCATATAAAAATAGTCATTCCAACTGTTTATAGAAAACTACAATCCTCTTTTATTCTGTTATGTTTCAAAGTTTCTTACCTTTTCATAAAATTATTTATCATTTCTATACATAGAAATCATGTATGCATTTTAATGTAGTTTCCGTGGAAGAGATTTTTGAAACTTCCTGCAGTTCAGCACCTTTGCTCCTGACTGTAATCAAATTTATTCTTAAATCAAATTCTTTATTTCTAAGTAGACTTTCTAATTGATGAAAATACTTTGATTTGCTAGAAAACAATAAGGAACCAGGAAAAAAAAGTTAATGTCAATCCTGTTAAAGCTATACTCCTTTTCTTTCTATAATATAAAGCTGGTAACAGAGGAAGAAACCCATTAACACAGATAATGAGTACTCCCTCTGGATAAACAATATTGTTGTTATTGCTACTGCTGTTGTTAGGGAGGATGAAGGAAAAGAAGAAAGCCAAGAACTGTAGATTAGAGACACTGTGAAATATGTAGAAATTCGTAAACCAGTACAGGATACTTATGGAATAATTAATGCAAAATATGGAGTTAGTCTTGCTTTTTATAATTTTTACATAACCATATAYAAATAATGGAGATGTACTATTAGAAATGATGCATTGGATAGACAATCATTTTACACATCAGACACCTGATATCCCTCAAGTGAAAACAAGGACTGCTAATTTAACAAATACTAACAACGATCTATGAGTTCTTTTCTTAAGCTCTGACAATGTTAAATTTTCAGTAACACAAGGTTTCTGATATTCAACAAATATATTCAGAATTCCTTCACTGAGAAAATTTATTGTGATTAGAACTGAAAGCTAGTGTGCATACACATATGGACCTGTTTGTAAAAGAGATTTATAGAAATCCTTAAAGAAGAGTGCATTCAGTGCATTGAAGATTTAGAGGATGTTTTATCCATTGCCGACTGAAAAAATATTTATTTTTCTTTCATTATCTACTTTCAAAAGTTAACTTCTTTCATCCAAGTCAGTACTTTAAGGTAATACACAGAGAAATCCTTACTCTACAATAATTAGACAAAGCTTCTCAAAGGGACCTGAAGATCTCCATCAGAAGTCAGCCTCCCATAACTGTGGGAGGGGGAGGGAGACCCCACACTTCGCCACCTTCAGTTTCTCTCAAAACTTGGGAGAGTGCAGCTKCTGGGAATATACCTCACAGAATCACAGAATCACAGATATTTCATGGCCACTGATATTTCGTGGCCAAGAAGGCCAATGGGATCCTGGCCTGCATCAGGAGGAGTGTTGCCAGCAGGTCAAGGGAGGTGATTCTGCCCCTCTACTCAGCTCTGGTGAGGCCGCACCTGGAGTACTGTGTTCAGTTCTGGGCACCCCAGTATAAGAGGGACATGGAGCTTCTYGAGAGGGTCCAGCGAAGAGCAACTAAGATGATTAGGGGAATGGAACATCTCTCATACGAAGAGAGGCTGAGTGAGCTGGGCCTGTTTTCTCTGGAGAAGAGAAGGCTCAGAGGGGATATGATTAACATGTGTAAGTTCAGGATGGGAGAATGCAGGGAAGAAGGGGACAAGCTGTTTTCATTGGTGGCCAGCGATAGGACAAGGGGAAATGGGCATAAGCTGGAGCACAGGCAGTTCCATCTCCAGGTGAGGAGGAACTTCTTTACTGTTAGGGTGACAGAGCCCTGGCACAGGCTGCCCRGGGAGGCTGTGGTGTCTCCTTCTCTGGAGGTCTTCCAAACCCGCCTGGAAGCCACCCTGTGCCACATGCTGTAGGTGTGCCTGCTTGAGCGGGAAGGTTGGACTAGATGATCTCTAGAGGTCCCTTTTAACCTTGAATATTCTGTGATTATGTGACAACAGCTTTGCTTTGTACTTCAGCACTTAGTGTAGACAATACATGAACAATCCAACTCTTTGTGTCAACTCCCTCTCTCCTCATCAGAAATAAATGACACCAAAATCAAAACCTATTTGAAATCTGCTCACAGGCAAGCACTAGTAAACTTTCTTTGTGTTCAGCGGATACTCATCACCTAACMAAAAAAAATTCAGTAAAAATGAATTTAAAAGTTTAAAGTATCTTTATATATAAAACCAAATAATTGCTTAGCGGTGACCAACTTAGTTTAAATAACAAGTGCACTGAAGCAACTAGAGGCAACGTTTTGTCAAGGTATCTCTGTTCATAAAAAAAGACTACTGAATACATGCTTATTTTAAACACAGATGGAATTACATATGTGCATGAATTCTTTTCTGAGTCACAACTAAGTATTGAAAATTAGAGCTATGTGATAGCAGGAGAATCAGCTAAGATGTGCAAAAGACATTGTSATACAATTTCAATATTGTAGAAATGAAAATATGCCATGCTTTTTATTTACTCATAAGATAAATAATATAAAACATTGTCATTCTTTATGTAAATAGTGAAAAAATTACCAAAAGCCAAAAGGGACATTTAGATCATTCATTTTTCTTTATTGAGCTTTGATGAAAACCAGTCCATTTGAAACATTTCCAGCAACCATTTCTATTCCAAATATTCAACACAAAAACTTGGTATCAGAGTTCAAACATACATCTTACATCTTACTTTAATTTAATATTTAACAAAGCTAATCATTTCTGATTTTGCATAATTACATTTACAAAAATAATGTTACATTTATAAAATAAATCATCTTTTCCCAATAAATTACAGTGGTGTTCTTATTCAAAAATGTAGTATACCATACAAAATAGATAACAGCTTTAGTAAGATAAAATATTAAAGTATGTTTCATCCAGTACATTTTGGCAGTGTCTGACAGCATTTTATTTTACATCTGATATCTAAACTACAGTGTGAAGAATAAACCAAACAAGCTACTCTGTGCATTGCTTATATAAGGCAGAGGTGGCCAATTTTTTTTTTTTAGTCAAGTCTTTTAAACCAGAAAAATACCATTATGATTATACATCTAAATTAATCTAATCCATTAAAGGCATGTAGATTCAACTGGAGACGAACACTCTTCCTAGGACAGATACAGAAGGTAACCCCAGTCAGTCATCTTTCATGCATGCTTTATGATCTGTAGAGGTCCCTTCCAACCTTAAATATTCTGAAATATTCTGAAAACCAGGATGCTTTATGTGTTTCATCAAAAAGCACAGATGGTCTACTTGTAAAAATAGCAAAGTCTTGCTTCTCCTAAATTTAATGGCAAAACTTTGGCACTTTATTTTGTCATCATGGTAACTCATGCTAAAAAAAGCCTTAAAAGAGGAAGAAATGCATTGGCCAAAAAAAAAAAAAAAAAAAAGGAAAAAAAAAAAAAAAAAGGTTAAAAATAACTAGCAAAAGAAAATACACTCCTTGCAAAAATAAAACTCTGTCTAAAAAGCAAAAAGTAAACATTAAGAGCTACTATATGCAGATCTAAAAACAGCTTTTTCAAAATAYCTCAAGAAACACAGCACTTACCTGATACTAAGTGTATTCTTATTAGAGCATTTGGAATGTTTAGATGAGCACAGCCTCTACTCCATTGCATTTCCTCTTTATGAAAAAGTAGCTCTAGCATCTTATTTGAATAACCTTTTAAATAACCTCTAAAGACATAGGTTTAACTGTAGTAGATGTATGAACTTGCGATGTTATGATCAATGCAGATGCCTGGCTCAGGACAATCAACATCTTACCTTGTATAATTTCTGACTTCAGCGGGTTTTTGTTTTTATTTTGTTTTTCTTTTGTTTGTTTGCTTGCTTCCCTGTTGTTCTATTACACAACTTCTGGAAAGAATATTTACTTTAAAGCATAAAGGAGAAGCACTGCTGTCTGGAATAAATAAAATGCGCAAAGTGGTGATTTTTCTTATGACATGAACATTATATGAACAATAGAATCACTGTATAGATCAGACTAGATCATTTTCATCAGCTCTGACTAGGAGTGAACATATACTCAAGTAAGTACACGTCACAAGGTCTCCTTTGTGAAATGCACAGAGAGGGCAAATCTAGATGGGATTTTAGAGACTCCAGACACAGAAGTTTAGTCACTGTTGGATCCTGCAAATTGGAAAGGGAGGAAGAGGAGTAGAAGGGGGCTCATCACATTAAGTAGTGTTTGTCATAAGCTTCTGAAAACTGTAGGAGTTTGAAAACCAGCAACTAATTAATTCATGCTGGCTGTCTTCTGGCTTTAAATACAGTGCCTCAAACCATGAACATATGGAGCTAGACTTCTGTGTGTTTGCTAGCCCAGTTAGTGAGCCATATCTCTCCAGACATGTATTACCTGCATAACTATTAACTGCTCTGCCTGCATTCGCCATGCCTGTTAGACAAAGAAAGACGATCACTACATTTATACTAGCAAATTACATAATGAAAAGTTCACTCTCCAGCCCTGAAGTCAAGTGGCATGGTCTGAACATATTCATAGTGTTATACTCTGCGAGCCCCAAAAGAAAGGTAGCCGTGTCCAAAGTGCCTAGTGAAAAGTATCCCTGGACTGGCCTAATTCATAAAGCATGCCCAAAATGTAGCAGTATAAATGCTAATCTGCTAGTTTCTGCACCCATATCTTCGCACTGTTTAATTGGCTAACAACACAGGCATATTTGTGTTTGCAAAGCCTCAACTATATTTGCACATAGTAGGCCCTTTGATTCACTCAAACATAAGTAAGGATAGGAGAATTGTCATCAACACACAAAATTCAGTTGAAGAACACAGTTCTTTCATATTAGGATTTTAAAAATGATTTTGATATTTCTGTCCATTAAACATTTTCTGCTTTTTACTTAATACATTATTTCATTATTTATGGAATCTTGGCTTGTGTTTGATTAAACCACTTTTTCATATCTACTATTCACAGCTAAACAAGCACTAACCAGTTCAGTCACAATGAAAAAAAAAATTATATACACATCTAAAACAATAATATTAAGATGACAACTAAAACAAGAAATAAAAAAAATGAATCTGCAGTTAAAAAAGATCTAAAAATAATATCCAGTTCTACACATGTTTCTCAGACTGCATTACCCATAGTTACAATTGTATGTTGCAGTGAGAAGATTAGTAGTTCCTGAATCATGAAAGAAACGTCACAAGAAATACCCACAGTAGTGGCTGCTGAGGGAATAATCTCCTTTGGTATCCTGAGATATTAAATGTGCAAGTGTCCTAAAAATTTATCTAGTGCATAAAAAGGATGGAACGGGGACAGAGAGAGAGTGTGAAACCTTATCACAATGGTTTTTGTTTCAAAATAGATTGTTGTGCAATGACTGAGGCCTGATTCGTAGACATTTTGTACTCTTGTCCAGAGCCCTGAGGAGGGGAAGGTAATGGAGTTTCTGGAGTTGCTGAAAAAGAATTCAGAGACAATTATGAATTTTTATATTCTTGTCTAATCCACATGCACATATACATGTTATTGCCCCTATACTAGGTTCTTTTACACTTGACATGTTAGGTAGATATCTCATTTTAATGACCAGAATTTTTGGTTTATTAAAAGATGTACATAGGAAAAAAAAAAAAAAAAAAGAATTAGAATGGTGACAACTTTTAAAACTAGATGAAATTCAAGCCAAGCTTCTTGTTTAGTACTGTTTATATGCATATGTTTTTAGTGCACAATTATTTTAATACTAAGAATGACAGTGAAATAACTCTACTAGCATTGACAGGCCACCATTTTAATTAATGTTTTTAAATGTAATAGTGAAATGTTATGACATAATGCTAACTTGCAATTACTTACAAATCTGTTCTGCATGTACAGGAGCAGACATTGAACTTATGAGGACAGTTTGGCCAGTTAATGGATCCTGTGCTAGGTGAGGATGTACTGGATGATGTATATGACTGGCATCATTAGAAGTACCTACAAAAATAACACAAGCACATATCAATTCAGAAGAGCATGTTGTTGTTAGCAAATTATACTGTAGTAATTACATTTCTGTAGAGCAAATATTTTGATTGGTAATTTGAATAATTGCCTCTGGGTATTCATTAAACAATTTAACCAGACTTCAACCATATTAAGTACTCTGTTTATTTTCACTGCTTTGACTGCATTAATATGGAATTTCATGAAATATTTGTGTGTATTCTTCAGTCTGCCTAGGGAATTCTATGTCTAGATAACCAGCAGTGCCTGAGAAATACAATTTGAGCATGTAAGAGTGAGTAAACAATGAGCAAAGACTAGGTAAGGCTAGAGGACTATAGCCCACAATTATTTGACTCCAAATCTCAATCACTGTTCATTGGATGAAATGCTTACACAATTCCCTYAGTTCCCCAAGGAAGTGAATTCAACAAAATATGATAAATTTAAAATATTAACTTACCTCCCAGTAACATTTCCTGAAGCAAACTGTCAATTTTAACAATTCCAAATAGCTTGACCAGTTGTATTTGCTCAATCATTTGCCAAGTGATGCTCTGGAGTGTAGGTAGTAGAAGCAGAAGTTCTCCAAACCTTCCTCGGGAATCATACTGGCGGTCATTGATATAATCCTCTAAACTGATCTGGACTTGGAACCGCATGTTCTTAATCTTGACTGGATTGCTCAGGCCTTTTGCATCTTAAAAAAATGAGAAAGGCTTTACTTCAAAGCAGGTTATKGTTTGAGAGGATAATCTTAAGGCTTTTTTTTTTCCTCTTTTTTTTTTTTTTTTTCATCCAGCTAGACAGTGAGAGAAATGCTACTTCAACATTCATTATTTTCACTGTAAATATGTAAATTAATTCTGAGAGATATTTTGAAATATGTACCTGGATCAAAAAATACAATTGCTTTCAAGCAAGCGTACTCATTGTCATCTATTTGAATTTCCTGGAAGGGTCGAACTAGTTCATCTAGAATCCGATTTGCCACTCGGCTGATCTCTACTTCAGAACTGTTGCGATGGATTATGTAATTGTTACCTTGGAGAAAAAAAGTACCAGCATGTAGTATTGATAACTCATAAACATTTAGATGTAAATTTTTTATAAGCACATTTGAGTTTGCACAATCAAATTTATGAACATTACTTTTCTTTCCTKCAATAACTTTCCTTCCTACTATATGAAACTGTTATTTTGACAATACAGTTTATGGGCAAAATAAAGCTCTCCTCTTCAAAATAATCTATGCATGTGAATACGTTACCATGTCCTGATTAGTTCCCAGAACTGAGGCATAAACATAGTAGAAGTAGGCCTTCATGTATACATAAAAAGTTGTCATTAAACTTATTTTATTTTTTTCTTCCCGTATAAAAAAATGGTATATTATAGGGTGACTGACCAGAATCTGTCAATGTACAAAGAAACCTTCTTTTAGAAAAGGAGTCAGGAGTGTTGAAGGTGAAAGTTGAAAAGACTGCTAATGCAAGTAGCATCTTGAGAGCAAGCAGTTTGTTTCCCTCATATGGTATGTGTAAAGGTAAATTCAAGGTGATTCAGARCTATGGAAAGGCAGACCTGAAAAGGAGGTAGAACAAGCAGGAGAGAATCTACCTTTGTGTATCACAACATAAATGAAAAATATAGGCGGAGTCCATACTCTGCCTAGTCTTGGTTTGCATCCAAGATCCTGTCTAGTAAGACCCACACACTTTCTCACAAAAGTGCCAAAGTGCTGCATATGTTTACTGAAAACATTTTTTGGGGTGTATTTAGACTGTCAGACAGCTCTAACAGGTAACTGGAGAAACATTCATCATGTTACTATGTGCAAAAGCGTACATCTCGTATTTCTGCATCTCTCTTGTGTAAGAAAATGGAAAACATGCATCCAACATGTGATGATAACCCCTTCCATGAACTGGCATGCTCTCAGTCTGTAATCTAACAAAAGAATCATTTCAGTGACCAAGACTGTCTGCCTTCTGGCCTGTGCGACACATTGCAGCACCATGAATGGGCATATCTCAAAGGCCTCTGTGTTGGTTACATGGTGACTAGATGGTGACTGAAAAGGCGGGAAGGAAAAGACCCTTGGGRAAAAGAGTTACTAGGAACTGTATCTGAACATTGTTTCTGCCTGTAGCATCTTCTGTGTCAATGTCAGAAGAGCTTTGGGGAAAAAGTCAAATGAATGAACATTTTTCACTGAGAGGGAGCTCATCATATGAGCCACAGGTTGGTTCTTCCTCTCTTAAATAAAGGTTTCTTACTTATTTTTTATGAGATGAAGATGCCAGGAAAGATCCTAATGTAAGGTGACATTTTGCCAAGATCCCTCTTGGCTGTAGCTTTTTCTATGAAAAACTTTGAACATTTTGTGTTTTTAATTCACAAGTAACTGTCCACCTGCTTTTAATGTAACAAAGTGCATGACATGATGTCATTAATAACCATTTAGCAGCCATAGACTGCATTGCTTTGATTATGTCAGAACAGTTGTCTCTCTCACATAATTACATGGTTGCTAGTATAATATACTATCTCTATTACTAGTTAAAACCAATATTTACCTAAAAGTAAAATGTCCTTATACCCCATGGACCTTTTTGCTGCTCCAAGTAACAGGTGCTCCCCAGCATGCGCTCTTAACAGGGCAACCTTAGAAAAAACAGCACACTCATTAGAGGATAAAGCACTAAGTTCCAAAAGGGACAAGAGAAATGAGAATGTATATGACAGTGTATATATAGTGAATAACACAAGTGAATGCAAAAAACTTTTCTTTGTAACACTGTATTAATAACACTATAAAACTAAATTGTCAGACTTCATCAATTCTAGGATTTGGTCTAGACTTCAAGCTCACAGCTTTGCAAAACATTTCTCAATAAATACAATATTTACATGTACTTCTCTTTGGTTCTACTTGAATTCCCTAAATTTCTAAACTGTTCTGTGATTCCATGATGTKTTAAGACCTTTCAATAATCTTAGTAGACTCTTAATAATTTTATCTACTTTGGCTTGCTCTATGGTTTGTAAACTAGGTGATTTCTAGGTCAGGAATCATTTGCTCAAAACCAAATCATCTATTGGATAGCTAAATGCATAATTAGAAAGAATTTATCACAAACACAAAAGTTCTGCTTGTATCAGGTTTTCTAAGGTGCTTAAGTTTGGAAATATTTCCTCACAAGCACTCTCTAATTACAATTTTGATATGCCTTTCAGCCTAAATTGTTACTTATTGTCTTTCTAAGTTGAAATATATATTATATATATATGTTTTTCTTTAAAGAATACAGAAACTAACTTGTTTTTTCATGAGATATGATCMTTTTCCCATTACTTCACACCAGCTTAAGAAATAGAAATTGCAATATTTACTGCTTGCTTTTGCTGATTTTTTTTGAAACCAGACATGCAAGATCAAGTAGTATTTCTTCTATATGAACAATAGATTTTTAACTTGTTCTGCTATCCTGCGTTTCAGCACATTTCCTATATTCTGTGRATCTAGAAAGCCATCATCAAGATCCCAATTTGAGAGGGTTTCCTGTGGTCTGAAACAYCTCTGTATTCTTGAAAAGTATAAGAGTGAATGATCTCAGCTTGAGTCTCAAAACCAAGGGTAATCCAACCTTCTTTGTGAGGCTCTGTTAAAAAATGACAGACTGGAGAGACCAAGAGGAGAAATTGCACAATGCCATTTAATAGAGCCATTTTCAAGGTGAAAAAAGATTTCAGAGGACCCGAATCAGGAGATTCGCAGCCATGAATTAACCTTCTGCCCAGCTGGCTCGTGACAGAACTGCTTACTGCAACACCAAGACAGAGGTTCTGAATGACTCGCTATGATTTACTGTGAAAGCCTGTGAACATTTGGTGTATAACAGAAGTGGTGATATGTCAGACCTCTGTCATAAAAATCCTTAAGAATTTTTAAGGTTAGGTGATTTTTCTTTCTATGTACTTGTTATATATAATATAATTTTAGTGCATTATATTATAAGAAAGATTATTCACTATAGATTGCCATCAATATACATGTTGGCATTTGCTCAAGATTCAAATGGCTTTTATTTTTGCAAGTACAAAAAACATGCTTCAAATTAAATAACATGTTGACTAAAACATTGTAATTAAAGGTGAAAATGAAATAAATGTTTTTCAAGGTTGGAAAAAAKATGTTATTTTTAGAGGCTTCTTTTTTTTTCTTTTTTCCTTTTATTTTTGACTCTACTTTTATATTTCTGTTTCCCAGAAAGATACAGAAAGATACAGAAAACATAATGGCAAAGAAAGACAATCTGGTTTCCAAAAGACTTGCTTCTTTTCTCTTTTTTTAATAGGATAGGTCCATTTTGATGACTTTTCCTTTTGTGCAGTGGTCCTAGCTCAAAATTGTTTTAAGAAGGGGGGCCTAACACCCAGTACTATTTGATCTAATAAAAATATGAGTGTACACACATAATTTTAAATATTTCTATTTAAACAGAATAACAGAATTGTAATTATAGTTCTTTCATGGGTTTGTTATACCTGATCATCCAATGGCAATTCACAGAAGCCTGGAATATATTTAGCCCATTCCACAAGTACCAAAAGTTGTTGCTTCATGGATTCACAGACATCACTAATTCCAGCAATTTTCTTAACATTTATGTCAGTGCTAGCACCAGGACTGGAGACTGAGATCTGGGCATATTGAAAGAGAAAAATAAAGAGTGTTAAATTTCATGTAATTGCATTTTCACTGGTTAACAGTGCCTTTAAAAAAAAATCACACCAGTAATTGTGCAAACTATTGGAAAATTTCTTGACCACATATATCATTATTCCAGATATACATTTTTTATTTCTCATTTTTATCAATGCATTTTAAATTATGCTTAGAATAGTTTTTACGAATTATAAAATCTTCCATTGCAAGATATTATCTTTAAAGAATCCAAAGTCCTCACTGTTTARGGGCAGGAATGAATAGGCCAGAAGTATTTTTTGTTTGTTTATTTGCTTTTTCTTTTAAAATGGCTAATATTTGCCTCACTTTAGAAAGGTCTCCTAGGGGCTTGTAATAAAGTTAAGGGAAGGGAAAGGGGAAGTATAGTCTTTTGGTGAAAACCTAAGTTTATGTAACTTAAGAAGTTAAAATAGGGGCTTTTAAATGCTGAGAGAAGAATGGTGTGTAGTGGTGAAGCAACAATATAGACTGAAGCCARAGATGTTTCAGGGAATGCTGTGGATGTGAGTGTGCATCGGGACACCAGTTCTACGAAATGCGAACTCTGCATTCTTCCAGGCCTGAAGCTAGTACATTTTAATATAATCGCTAAGCCAAATCCTCAAATTCTTAATGAGTTTTCAAGTAAAGGAAAAATACCAGACTTTTTATTAAACCAGACAGGCAATGCAACTTAAGATAAAACCAGGTCTGAGAAGAGGAGGTCACATTATCGTTAGATAGGTCCTTCCCCTATCACATCAGGGGAAAAATAAAAAAAAAAAAAACACACCTACACAGGTGAAAATTAATTTCATCCTATTTTTTTTAATAAATCTTCCTTAGAAGCTTGAGCACTATAGCTTGAGCATCCAAAAAAGTCTATTTGATCTTCCAGTATAGAGTCTCCTCAAATTTCTGCATTGTTGATAGGCTAATTCCTACCAGATCCTCCTCACCTACAGATACATGGTAAATCCCCCAACTGGAATCCATGGTGAAATCCCATTATCTTTGTGTGAACTTCACTGAACTAAAGCTCAATGCTTTCTAAGTAATTCAATAGCCTAAAACACTGAAAAAAAGTAGATATTAATGACTGTTAACCAGTTGAACATTAGCTTCCAGGTGAGTAAGGAAGCTTGGCAGTCCTCACACGCATGAAAAGGTTATTTTATAGGAAAAGATTAGAGAAATCATCTCTTTGTAGACAAAGCATTTGTAAATCCCTGCTATAATCATGAGATCATTTTTGGCATATACATATATTAAAAAAAAAAAAAAAAAAAAAAAGGAAAAATTTGAATATAATTCTGATAAATGCTACTAGAATGATTTAGTCTAGAAAACCTGCAATATAGAAAGAGAGCAAAGAAATACAATATGTTTCACTTTTTCACAGAAGAGTAAGAGTCTAGATCAAAATTCAAAAGCACCTACACAGAGAGGTGGTTCTGATAGTACAAGGCTCTTATTTCCAGATTTCCAGTTATTTCCAGATGACAAAGAGTGGCCTGCTTATGTAATCATTACAATTACTAATATATGAACTTAATGTATTCTCCATCATTAATTTATTCATATATTTGAATTAAAGCTATGTGTCTTTATAAATTTTATCTTATAGGACAAATTATGGTCTTTGCTCTGAAATTCCTTGGTGAGCTTTTTCTGGGAATTTCATTGGGTTTCTCTGACAGAGTTCATGATGAATTCCTAGGGCTGCATCACTACACAAGGAGATGAGACTATGGACATTCCTCTTCCCTTTTCTATACTGTTTAAGCCTGCCTATCTTTCCTTGAGTGCATCATAGAAATCATTGCCTTGATGAACGTTATACTGTAACACTATTGTGTAATACCCCTATTGTTCTGAGAGCATCAGTGACACACCTTTTTGCTCCTGCATGATTCCAGAATGTGCAATCCTAGAAACCTTTCKTCAGTATGTATTAGACGTACTCAGACAACTTATTCCTGTAAGTGTCTTCGGGGACAAAATCATCTATTTTCTATATTTCCATATGAAAGTTTAAAACATTAGACCTTTTCTCTCTTATTTTTCACACCTGAAGAACATGGCTACTCATCTCCTCCAAGTCTCTCTCCAAGTTTAGTTATGACTAAACATAGACTACAGGCCTACTGACAAAGGAAAAACAGAACTTTAAGACAATACTTTTCCATCTTGTTAATGGCACCTCTTGGTCTTTGAAACCAAGAGAATACCTTAATATTTGCTTGGCATATGGAGAACAATTCTCTCCTACTACAATAGAAACAAATAATCAGTATAAAGCCTTTCCTATATGCTAGGTGATCTGAATTGGCTGAAAAGATCTTTGTGGCAGGAAAGAATGCGGAAGTGATTCTGTTTAAGAAAGCTCTTACTCCTGAAGTGCATATGTCAGCTGGAGATGATTTAGGGGGTAACATAAAATAAAAAAGTGCAATAAGCAAGTTCAAAGAATTACTAAGGAGGTAAAAATAGATTCTCTATAGGTCTGAAAGGTAGGAAGGAACATTATCATCATCTAGGCAGCCCTGACATATAATATGTGTCACAAAATATCACCCAGTAATTCCTGTATCAATTCTTTTAGAGACAGTTCCACCCCAGGAGAAAGGCCGACAAAACGAAATATTACAAAACATTTTGGGGTTTGTAAATCAGTCAGCAAGAAATCATAAAGGGGTCAGTTAAATTCTAAGTAAGTTAGCAAGAGGTGCAAGAATGCAGAATCAATAACCATTATTTATCTGAGTTGCAGAAAAAGGACTGGAGACTGTCTGTTCATCAATTGATTGAACAGGGGAAAGGAAAGAAAAAAAGATTGAGTTCGTATGAGAAAGAAAATGTAAAAGTGAAATGTGAATACACTGCAGTTGGACTACTTCTGTTTGCCCTATTTATAATGCCAAAGGATATTAAAAATAGGATTTTCAAAAGAATGTAAGGAAATGAGTGTCTACACCTCTTTGAAAAGTAATGACTTTGGACTATCTTTCCTAATGTTTCATGGAATACTCAGCTTCAAGGAATAGATAGGTGCCATCAGCTGCCTGAGAGAGCAACTGATTTAAAAGCAGTAAGATTATAAAGGTTTATTAAAGAAGGCGCCTAGGACATATTGTCCCAGACAAAACTAGAATTGACTTTGTTTTAGAAATGCATTCTATTACTCATTCTGTCACTGTGAAGAAGGCATTGGGTGCATTTTGAAAGAAAAAAAAATGCACAGGCAATTTCAATACTTATTAATAATACAAGGAAAAAAGGAAAAGTATTTAACTTAAAAAAAAAAAAAAAAAAAGTCTGTTGTGATAGATCTCAGTACCTGACGGGACAGTGTCTCAGCTTGCGACAGTGTGCTAATAGAGGGAATGTTGCAGCCATCAAAAGTGTTTCTTCTTGTACTTATCCTGTCCCGTTCATTTTGTACAGCTGAAAAAGAAAAATTTTCTAATTTACTGACTTGGAGACAATGCCACACTATATCATTTCAGATGCTTAATATGTAACTATAGAAAACTAAAGGTATGACATTCAAGAAAGGCCTCCTGTTTCTACCTGAGTAATATAAAGGAGTAACAATAGATATTTATGATCTTTATCCATATGGCAATGTTTACCTGTAAAACTATGAAAAACTAATTATAGATGTGGATATTGATGTATCAACACTTTTGTGGACTGGCTTTAATATAGTAAAACCTTGTCTTTCTTCCTTTGAACTTGACCATAATCTAACGTTTTGCGGTTCTAGCCACTTTAAATATTATTTTATGGTAGAAATATAAATCTCTAGACTTCTGAATGGGTCAAGAGGTACAACACCACCACTGACAAAATGCCTTTGGCAGAGAAATTCTGAAAGCTCTCTCTNTTTTTTTTTTTTTTTTTTTTTTTTTGTGAGAAACATGGAAACAAGAATGAATAGTTAACTTAATCCACTCCTAAAATCATTTTTAATTCTAATTTGCAATTTCATACAGTCCTCAGGGACACTCTATTACAAGCTTGTTTATAGAACATTAACCAAGTAAAAAAAAAAAATCAAAAAAGACCCAGAGAAGTAATTTTTTTCCTTTCTGGGTCCAAAAATTAAATTATGTTTGAAAATACTGTGTATAAGGAATTTTTAATCAGCACAGGGAAGGGTTATAAAGCTTCAAGGTAGGCTTTAATTCAAGGAAAAAATACAAATAAAACTATCATTCAGATTTTACTAAAACCATAACCCAGAGAAGGGGAAAAAAAAAAAAAAAAAAAGGAACACAGAATTAGAATTGCACTGATCAAAATCTCATTATTGTGAAAGGAATCTCATCATCTTTTGAGTGTAATAGCTTTATTTCCAAAGAGATATTTTTTTATTTTGTGAGAAACATTTTGTATTCCAGAATTTGAGATTCATAGCAAAAATGAAACAAAACAAAACAAAAAAACAACAAAAAAGAAACTCTATGCAATGAACAGTTCTCAGAATTTATCTAGACAATGCAATTTCATTCCAGAAATATTTCATATTYGAGTCTCAGAGCTTTTGCCAAATTTGCTCACTGAAGGAATTCCAATTAACTTTTAAGTAAAAAAAATACTTATTGTGACAGTATTTAGACACTGGAACAGGTGGCTGACAGGCTGTGAGATTTTCTTTCTTAGAGACAGTCTGAAATGGACAAGATGGCAGCATAAGCAACCTGATTGGACTAAGAAATCAGGCTGGCTTTGAACAGGGTCCTAGACTAGATCACTTTTCCAGGTGTTCCAGGTTTTCTGAACTCAAGTTTTTTTCTGTAATTACAGTGTTTTAAAGTCTATGAAGCTCTGCTTTTCGCAGAAGTTTGAGGGCTGCTGTGGACAACAACATTTCACCCTTAATGGATTAAACAGATGCAAGTTCACTTCAAAGCCCTCAGTTTGATAATACGCAAGTTTTAAGACAGCTTACTCATTTGAAAACTAAAAGAAGCATGTTTTATATCAGTAAAACAGTTTCTTCRTGAAGGCAATAAAACAGACTTTTTYATTGAACTATTCTACTTTTTTTTTAGAAATTTTATTAAATTTTAAGACTCATTAAGATTATTTATCTTGTTATATCAAATAATAAATGACTTTATTACCTTCTTTTTTCATTCCTGCTCGAAAACACTTTTTTAAACGACAGTATCTGCATTGATTCCTTTTGTCCTTGTCAACAACACATTGCCGATTGAATCTATCAGAGACAAGAAACAGTAAATGAATAAAGCATCTGTGTAACAGTACCCTGATTATGAAGAGTAAACCAATATGGCCTGTCAGAATAATTACATCCTTTTTGCTTTATTCTTATTATTTGTTCTTGAGAGGTGTTTCATATCTTCATACCTCCTAATTTCAGGAAAATATGTGAAAAAAATCTGGAGTGGTATATATCATTTAAACCTCCGTTTACCCATGAGATATACCAGCATCCAGCTGCAGAGAGAAATATTTAATAGGAAAAAAAAGTAAAAGAGGAAAAGCTACTAACAGCAAAAGGTAGGACAGTATATGAAAATTAYGTGTCACTAGTTAAACAGCACTGAGAAGCCTTTAGCTAGGAAACTAGCGCCTTTAATTGGAAATGTTTGCTTACTGTAGGAGGAGCCAATGAACATGTTATATCATTAAGATGATAACCTAAACAGAAAGTGGGAAGATTAGCTAACAATACACAGAGCATGACACTGCAAGAAAACCTGCTTATTCCAGCTCAGGGGGGGGAAAAAAAAAAAAAAAAAAAAAAAAAAAGCTTTGAATCAAACCTACCCAAGCTCTCATGCACACATACAGGTGCACATCAGGGGAATATGTATGACACATCTCCCCCATTCTCTCCATTTGCTTTTGCCCTTAGTGCATTTTTTAGGTCTTTGAATGAATAAATACATCCATTCGCATTTTTCAAAGCTCCTCTGGATTCACTTACAGAGCCTCTGTCATGCGTGCTTAAAGTTATGTCATCTAAGCTATATTTGTAAGGGACATACTTACAAGAGTTTTTATGAAGTATAAGAACATTGAGTAACCAAGGAAGAGTGTAGCAAAAAACATTTCTAGCAAAAAGGCATTCTCACAAGAAGATTTATTTTATTAATCCATCTAAATTCACAGTTCTGTATATATTCTGCATGTATTTTATGCATGRTTTAAAACTAACATCTTATGGACTTTATACATGTATGAAGCAATTGCCCTGAACACTGCACACTGACCTGCACTGTGACAATTCGGGCAGACACATATTCAGGTATGWTCAGATGGCTATTAAAACTGATGGATTGGGAGGAGGAAATGTTCTCTAAAAGGAGCAAAGGAGCTTCCCTCCTCAAAGGCAAAAGCTGTGAGGATTATAGTTTTTAAATCAGGAGTCTTAGAATGTCAGACTTCCTTTTCAAAAAGTGTCTTCATAAGGAAAAATAGCATAAAGAAATGGTTAGAAAACAATTAAGTATAAACAAGTCTTCTGTGATGTAATGACATCAGTGTAATGATATCAACAGGCATCTGGCAAATGTAACATTAGCGTATTTTCCCTGTAAAACACACCAGAGGATCTTTCCTTTTATAATCGTTCTGGTTCTATCAAAGAAAACCCAAATATAGTTCATAGCAAACTATGCCTAACTTCTAGTATTAAGATCTAAAAATCAATTTTCAAAAAGTACTGCTTTGATTCTAATTTAATTCCTAGCAGCTACTTTTGGCTTGTGTATAGGTCATATAGGTGAAAAATAAAAGGAGACAAGCAAATAATAATATAAAAAAGAAAAAAWATATATACTTTATAATAATATACAAAGCAAATAAAAGCAAATAATCTGATTCCTGTATGACAATAAATATTAATTTAAAATGTAGCCTTTAGAAGCATCTATGATTAAATAGAGATTCCAGAGAATACAGTTATAATTATAGAATCTTACAGAATCCACTTCAGTAGCCTTAAATGAGAGGAARTGTTTCCAAATTATGAGAACAAACCATGAACCACATGTTTTAGAAAAGGTGTTGAATAGAACCCTTTAAGAAAATGCTGTAATTATCCCTATGTATTTATGAAAAAATCTGTGGAAAAGTATGAAAGTGATTTTTGCTTAAATTAGTTTAGTGCCTTTGATGAACTTTTTAAATACCTGCATGTATAAACATGACTTTTCCGTATACTGCGTCTAAAGAATCCCTTGCACCCATCACAACTGGAAGCACCGTAATGTTTGCCGGTTGCTCTGTCTCCACATATTGCACAGAGACTACTGACCCCATTGTCAGCAGCATTCATGTTGAGAGCTTCTCCCGAATTATCTGAGGAGAGACAAGAACAACATATGTAGATGGGTAATACTTTCAAAAACCACACTATAATTAATCTACAGGCTTTTTTTTTTTTTTTTCCCCTAGGCTTTTCTCTTTCAAATGTGTACTGGCTGGCTAGACCCATTTATGAAGCCCACAGCAACAAATATCTATGTTTCAGACTGAAAGGGTGTTAAAAATTAAAACTCTGCACGTATAGTCAAACATAGGTTGTTACTAACATGAAGAGGAACTTTGGCAGAAAGGACTGTTACCTGGTGAGCTGTCCAAGCCCGTGTAAATCAAATCTGCCAACAAGTGACAATACCTGGCAACTATCATACAATGATTCAAACGCCTACCTCAACCAAGCACTTTTTTATTTCAAAAGGAAAAAATAAAAGAATGTTTCCATTGCTACAGCTTGTGAAAAAAAAAATCATGTTAACAAGACCATCTTATTGTTATTTACTTGAATGTATTTTCCAAAGGAAAATTGATGTAGACTTCATATAATAGGCTACAATTTCTATATGATTAATACTTAAGTTATTGAATACAGTGAATAGAACAGAAGAAATTCACATGAAATCAAAATAAATACATTATTTTACCTAATTTGTTCTTTAAGTCAGAATGTTTAGCAGATGTGTGTTCAAATAAATAACTGAAAAAAAAAATGTTTTCTAKGTATGTTTCTGGCTTTATGAAAGGAAAGTTAAAGTATGTCCTAAACATTTATAGTGAAGTAGTCAGGAAAGAAGGAAAGAGGGCCGTGTTATTTATTCAAGTATGCAGAAAAGTTAAAGACACGATGAGTTACTGAGCAAAGGATAGATTAAAAAGGAAAATCACATATAGTCATGTATAACATTACCTATATTATAGGAGATGCCTCTGAAATGTATCACACAAACACATAATATTTGTGCCCAAAAGGGCTTATAATTCAAATGGAATTCTTCAGAGATAGAAGCAGCAAAATTTTTCCCTTTTTTACACAGTCACAGTTGATAGCAATCAGACTATTAATTGACCAGATTAAAAAAAAAGGGGGGAAATATTCAGTCCTGTGAAGATTKTGTTATTTTGAAACTGGGTTATTATGGCTGGGAAATGTTTACAAGAAAAACACTTTACAGAAATACTTTAGCTATGAAAGAAATAGAATCTTAATTTTGGAGCTTTTTAAAATTTTATATTATAGTGCTAGGGATTTGTTTTTAAAAAAAATGCTGTATCTAAATTAAATGATGAAATGTTTCATAATTAAATGAATTGTAATAGGATATTCAGGAAAAAAAAATGACATTGGTTTTATTCTGAAAGAAAATGCCAGGAAAATTGACATGAAATTGCAAAGTTCTCTGATCTCAAAAGAACTGAATCATATGCTAGAATGTGGTTTATTAAATATCTCTCAATAGTTCTAATTAACTAAAATGTTAGAAAAGACACATATAAAAKAGGATTCAGCTGTCAGTTGCAGAGTAGCGCTGTAAAAAGGCAACATTTCTATAAACTCTCCAATATTTACACTAGTGAATTCCAAAAATAAAAAGCCTGCATTTAATAATCAATATTTGACTAATTAATCATTTACAAAGAATAACCTAACTAGTTGTATCATCAACACTATTAACCTTCCTAATCTGTTTTCCCATTTCATGTAATATTAACAGGTCTGAAAAGGTGCTATTCAGCAAAAACAACAAATGAGCACAAACAGCAGAGAAATCATCTAAAAGTTACATAATCCTTCTTGGTAACTTCTAAATCACTTAGGATATGCAGGTGTATTTTTCTTGCTAAATCAATAATCAAATCTCCTTTTCTGTTTACTAAGTGTGCTGTAAAGTAATATCATCAGTTCAAACAAAAACTCAGGATCCAACAATAAAAACTAACTTGGGTTCTATATGGGAGAAACTGAAAGCAATCTTTATCCAGATCAAAGAAAAGATACGGAAATGCAGATACCAAATATTTTTTCTGAAAATCATATCTGTTCTTCCTTTTAAAATAATCTGTGTACAATAAGCTGTGTACTTTATGATATAATATTTTTGAAGTAGAATAGAATATTAATAAAGTCATTTTCAATAATCTAATTCTCTAGCTAATTTCTTCTCTTTAATAGACAGGAATTTTTCTCAGTACTCAATGATCATAAAATGAAAGAGTGTACTTCCTGTTTGAGACATCTCTTTTGAAATTCAATTTCTAAAAATTCATTGCATTAAAAGCTTCCACCTTAAGTTAAAAGGTTACCTAAGCCAAATACCAATAGTTTTTCTCAGCTAAACATTAGCACATAAAAAACCAATGTGTTAACAAAAAACCCCTCTAGCTTCTACATGTATCCAGAAAGGTTAGATCAACATTTAAATAAATATTAGTTCGATAATTACAAACTAGGCATCAAGAAGCAAGACTAAATTTCCTCATAAGCCTCCAGATAATTTTATCCTGTCCTTCTGAATGTTGCATATGAAATATACTTTCATGTTCAAATTGTCAATACTAGTTATTCATTTGTCTTACAGTAAATAGAACAACTGCTGAATGTACCATTTTCTTCCTTTGATTAACTGACTGATGACAGTGCAGTTCAGTTACTTTATTACATATAACCTTCCTTTTATTATTCCTTAATGTAAAAGAATTATAATGTCGTTAGCTTAGAGCTAGCGATGAAGTGTAAAAGAACAGATTTGTAGTTTGAAAACAACCCCCAAATGCTCTACTAATAAAACATTTAACTAACACCTTATAACTTCCAKGCTATAACTTCCCTTTTACTGTTAACTGTCTTGCTTTTGCATCACGGAGCAGAACTCACCATTGCTATTATACAGGATCTGCATAGTTTCGAACTCCAGGGCAGTATATGTTGGATCTAGAACTTCGCTGTAGTTTGCCATTTCCATATCTAACATAGGTTCCGAGAGCCTCATCATTGAATGCAAAAACAGTAAAAAAAGCTTCTCAAATGCCCAAGTGTTCCATTCTGCTTCACAGTGATTGATAATCCCAAGTTAACTATAACTGTGTGACTTACGTGCTGTAATGGGAGGAGCTGTAAAACTGCTTCTCATGCTATATTCTGTGTGCTTTTTTTTTTTTCTTTTATGATACAGTTCAAAACTTCTGATAATCCTAGAATGTTTTCTGCAATAACCCTATCAGGAGTTGTGCTGCCTCTAGTTCTTGAGCAAATTCAAGTTTTATCCAGGAAGTTTACTGCCTCTTATCCCCTTCTACATGATTTATATAAATACATAGTGTAAAAGGTCCTAAACCCACCACTTTGGTGGTTTCCTAAAGATAACTTTACCCTCCCTCAGCAGAGCTGTAAGAAAATGTGATACAAGCGTGGACTTTCTTAGTGGGCAGTGCATTCATTCATCATCATGTTTTAAAAGACAACAGCAAAACAGCAAAAGGTTTCTACAACAATGGCTGTTCAGATGCCCTACATAATGCAAACTCTGCAGGAAGAAATGCCATTTTAAGACCTTCTCCACCTCACACTGCATTGCTGTGATGGCTCTAGGCACTGAACCTCTTGTACTCTCATAGGGTGGGCTTTTCTARTTCTTCTTCATACAAGGATGTCATGGCAGCCTCCTTTCAAGCAATCTTTTCAAGCACCATGGAGAGGCACAGGAGAACAAACATTCATCTCCTCTGAGAAGAAGGTAGAAATTGTGGCTCTATTGTTCATTAGTTCGCACATATGGCATATACAAATTCAGGTAAAACCCTTTCTGTAAAGCTATTTCAATGCTTGTGCAGAAGGAAAGAAGATAGCGGAATCTGACTTGATAACCAACTTTTAAATGCTGCAGAGCAGTATTTCAAACAATATGATATCTTGAGTGATTTATTACAGAAAGCTATTCTGTACACAACTGAACAACATTGCATTAATGATTACACATGTGAGAGAACTGTCCATTTTAATTAATTAGAGACTGTTTCATGTCTAGAAATATGGAAGAAATTATCCTCAGAAAATGTAATTTCTCAGAACTGGAAGTGTATGATGTTTTACTGTCTTTAAAGACAGCTACTATATATTTTTTTTCTTTAAAGAAACACATTAATTTTTTTGTAAATTAAGATTGATAAAAGGTTATACTTTTTTACTGTAAGCTCATATTTGTATATGAAATCACAGTAGTTTCATCACAAAATGGAATAATTTTATATTATCTGAACAGTTTGAAAAGTTCCTTCAAAAAATTTTTAATGCAGTAATTGCTGCAAAACTAGCAATAGTCACTAAAATGATCCACTGCAATAAATATTCTACTTAGAATGATATATAAAGTTTTTAGTGTTAATTAGAATTGTTTTTCCTCCTTCAGGTTTATTTTTGATAGAATTTTCTATGTCTTTTTCATAATTAACAGGTGTGTAGCACAAATACGAAGATATCTAAAACTGGTTGAGTTATATTTCAGAACTATGTCTCCCAAAGCACTTCAGCATGTGAATAGCTTTAAAATAAAGGAATGAATACAAGGTAGAAGGTATCATGTATGACACAATTGAATCCTACCATTCTCTCCACTGTTAACAGAACTTCTTCAATGCTGCCACACAAGACCCCTCAGTGACTACTAAAGAGAGGGAATGAATTGCATCTTTGTACTTTTGTCATATAAAAATTCATTTCAATTGATTTGTTAATATGGAAAAAATGTACAGTACAGGAAAGCTGTTCTTTATAGTATTCTTTTCATGTTTTCCTAAAKAAATATTACAGTCAAAATTTTCATTTATAAAAATCTGCATTCTGAGGAGATTCTGACATGAAGTAAATAATGAACAATTAAGGTATGCTAAATGACTGCTCTAAAATATTAACATATTTTWTTTCTGTCTTAGGTGTATCACAATGCATTTCTGCAGCCAAAGAGGTTGAGTGTAAATGTCAAGGATGAACAGTTTTTGGTCTTATGTCAGTCCAAGCTTTGCAATGTTCCCTAATATTC